ATGTGTTATATCATGGCCGTTGATAAGAGGGTATGGAACTTGAAGATTAGGGTAAAAAGTAATCGGTCGTAATGTATTTTTCTGATCAGTTCTGGATTTATTAGGGCTAGCCTGCTAGCACCTTGTCGTTGATTCTTAGAGTGCTGGTATTAGGCTTGTTTTTAATACTATTACTTTATCTTTGTTACTACTTGTTGCTATAGTTATTGCTATTGCTTTCTTCTATTTGTTTTTTCCGATTCATACATGGTTGATATCATTTTCCTAGACTGTTGTTGATATTTACTTGTTTTTATTCTTTCTCTCGAGCCGAGGGTCTTTCGGTAACATCTCTATCTCTTCGGGGTAGGGTTAAGCTCTGTGTACACGTTATCCCCAGACCCTATTTGTGAGATTCTATTGGGTTGTGGTTATATTATTGTTGTATAAATTAAAGTTTCTTTCTTATGCACCCATGCCCTCTTTATAGTCATATTAAATGCATCTCCTTTCATATCAAATCAAACCATCACTTTCCAGTAATTAGCCTTAGTTTTTATCTATTGCAAATCAAATACTATGCAAGTAATTTGGAGGGTTGGAGCAATAGGGCAGTAGAATCCAAAAGCAAAGGCAACAAATTGGACATGACATGTGATTTCTCATGATCAGTCCTCAGATCTCTAACATCCTGTGGGCTTCTTTATTTCTGAGAAGAAAAGAGTAAAATATAGGTGTAAGAATTTCATATATAGTGGTCAAAACACCAGAACCATACGAATGAACACTTGGATATATAGTTACAAAAAGAGGCAGTTCAGTATGCGAAATATTCCGTATTCACGTAGGGTCTGGGGAAGCGTTACACCCAAAGGGTTTGATGTAGGCGGTCTATCCTAATGCAAATATCAGTGACTGATTCTACTGTTCAGATTTGTTACCTGTAGATCATATGGAGATAACCTTATTGTTTCTCCAATGCTCCCCTTCTAGATATATAGTAAAATTGGAAAAAATAAACTGCCCAGAACACGAAATATCTTGTATTTGCGTAGGGTCCGAGAAGGTATGCATCCCAAGAGGTCTAATGTAGGCAGTCTATTCTAATGTAATCATCAGTAGCTGATTCTACAGCTCAAACTCGTTTCATGTAGATCACATGAAGATAACTTTATTGTTTCTCCAATACTCCCTTTCTGGATATATAGTAAAATTGGAAAAAATAAAACCGCCCGGTACACGAAATATTCAGTATTCACGTAAGGTTCGGGAAGGATTGCACCCCAAGGGGTCTAATATAGGAAGTCTATTCTAAATTTCTAATGCAAGTATCGGCGGCTAACTCGAACTCGTGACTTATAAATCACATAAAAATAACTTTATCGTTTCTCCAAATACTCCCCTTCTGTGTACAGAAAAATTGGAAAAAATAAAACTAAGTGTTTGTGCAATAGACAATGCACTGGTGAGATCAATAACCACAACAAACATTTGGAAGCTGAGACAAATGCTGAAGTGCAGCGCATGTGCTCTCAGCCGAATTTCTCGGGACTTGCTCACCCCAAAGACATCATCCACATTGCTTTTGAGCATTATATAATTCACTCATTTATTCAAATTTAATTCATATAGATTGACAGTACACATTCTTTTTTCACTATTCGTGTAGATTGACAGGTTAGTTATCTTTTTGGATTTAAGTTATATACATTGCTAGTGTAAGTAGTTGTTTACATCATCAATGTATTTGAGCATGTTATTGTAGATTAAGTATTATTCTTAGGTTACCAATTAAAGTATATTATAAATTTAATTAAAATTATCTTTTTAGATGATCTAATAATCTAAATATTTTTTATATTCTTATAAATGACGTGATTATTTAAATATTTTTTTTACTCCATATAAGTTAAAACTCTTTTCTGTTCAGCACCATCACCATCACCGTGAGGTCAAAGTAGAAAATAAAGAACACATGAGAAGAATATGGAACAAGTGCATAGATAGTCATTTTCAGAAATATTATTTAGAAATTAGTCAATAATTATTTTGTCCTAAAATTTTAAACTAAAAATTTTTACTTCACAATATTTAGTCCTGAAAAGTGAACTTATGAAATTTAGGATGCACTAACAAATTATTAAATAGCAGCCCTTTAAAGTGGCTACTAATGTCATTTCTACAAGAATATGGCCATGAAGCCCAAAGCCTCAACAGGTCAAGTAAATAAGGGAGAAATTTAAAAATAGCCAGATTTATAACTGGTCGTTCAAAAATAGCCAAATTTCAAAAGTAATCGAATTTTAGCCACTTTTCATGTAAAGATAAATTTGAGCGAAAATACTGTTCAAAACCCGTAAAATACGTCAGTATATTATGCCGGAGTTCTAACATAAGTATACTTGAACTCCAACATATTATACTGGAGTTCCAGGATAAGTATGTTGGAACTCCAGCATAATATGATGGAGTTCCAGCATAAGTACACTAGAACTTCAGCACAATATACTAGAGTTCCAGCAAGTATACCGGTCCAACATAATATACTGGATTTTGGTGCACCTGTGTATGAACTCCAGCATATTATGCTGGACCGGTATACTTTGCTGGCTCCAGTATAATATACTGAAGTTTGAAGCACCGCTCCAATCTCCAGTATATTATATTGGAGCCAGCAAAGTATACCGGTCCAGCATAATATGCTGGAGTTCATACACAGGTGCACCAAACTCCAGTATATTATGCTGGACCGGTCTCTGTTGCAGCAAAATAGTGACTATTTTTCATTAACTTGGTAAATGTTGACTAGTTTTGAATGACTAGTCCGAAAACTAGCTATACCGTGCTATTTTTACCGTAAATAAGTACCTCTGGGCAACTAATTCTTTTGGAGGTAAAGCAGAAGAGGCCCATTAACTGACTCGGGGATAATTAGGAAAAATTTCAGACATAGCCACTCTTTAACCCCTGTAAAAAAAAAAAATAGCAACTGAAAATTTAACTTTTATAAGAAATTACAGAGGCTTTAAAGTGGCTACCATCATGGAGCTTCAATTGTAAAAATCAAATTTCCATGACAGTGGCTATTTTCGATTTATGGCCTAAAAAAGTGCCTAGCGGCGCTATTAAAACGATAATTTAGAAGTCATTTTAAGACTTGAAGCTCAATACGTAGTAATTTTTGGGAAGCAAGCTTTTTATATCGCTATATTTGAAACCCAACTTCTGCATTTGCTAAATGAATGAAGTTTGAGTTTTTACACAAATAACCTACGAGATTCATTATTTTTTATTTAGACGGTATACATATATTATATTTTGATTATACTTAGTTATACACATATTATACATGAATTTTATATATATTTTATATCTGATGGTTATTTTTAGTATAAGAAATTAGGTGGGCGGCTATTTGAGTTAATTCTTCAAGGTTCTATACAATGCTTGGCCCAGCTTTTATAAGTTAGGCAGTCCAATGCTTACTTGGGGGGAGATTTGCATAAATAGGATCATTTGAGGCAACTGTTTAAATTTTATCCCCGTGTAAGGAAGTTTTGCAAAAATAACCATAGCGCTCTACATTTGGAAGAATATAAAATTTTGCTAGGCATGGCGTAACTTTAGTATCTTCATCTTACCTATCTTATAAATTATCATCAGTTTTGCCAAATGTACAAAAATTACCTATGTTGTTCAATTATTATAAGTTTTACCGAATGAACAAGACTTGATATTATTTTAATTCTATTCATCTTGTCTATCTTATAAATAACGCGATTGTGTATATTATATTGCCTATAATACAAATTTATATGAAATAACCATCTTATAAATAACGCGATTGTGTATATGCTTTCTTATACCCTCTATGCACAGAACATGAACATCATCTCTAATTGAATTCCTCTGCGCCATACAGATTGGGAAAAAAGATTTAGCCAAAGGATAAGAGATTTAACAATTAATTAAAATACATAAATAGTACTCGCAATATCATTACAACTGTTGCCATGTCTTACCTCTAATAATGCAAGTAAATTGCTTAGTTGTAACACGTTAATTTATCATTATCAAACGGAAGAATTAAAACAACAGTACGTACTTCATCAGTTTAAATATTATGTTAAATCTTCTACAAAGATATCATGCTCATGACCTTGGAAACATAAGCATGTTACCAAAGGTTATATTCTCTTGCAGATATTTCAAATCTACCCTTCAGTAATAAAACCAATTTTTTTTTTTTTAAAAAAAAGTGTATATACATCTAAAATCACGAGTTTACGCAGGGTTCGATGAAAGGCCGCATGCCAAAGGGGTGAGGTATAGGAAGCTGTGGTGAAACCAGAAATTTTCGTAAGGGTGTTCAGACTTGAAAGAGTAAATAAAAAAAACTCCAACAAAGGGTGTTCAATGTATATTATATACATCTAAAATCAATATTTTACTTGTATAAACAATATAATTTTTCGTAATAAAATGGTGTCGCCCCCGGTAGGCGCAGTCTACCTTAATGCAAGCGTTAATGGCCGATTTCATGGCCCGAACCCGTAATTTATTGGTCATATGGAGACAACTGAACCATTACTCCAATGCTCCCCTTCATGAGTAACAACAATTTGATAGAGTTTAAATTTTGTGTACTAACAACATGTAATTTTTTTGCACCAGAAGTTAAAGATGACGTATAACAATAGGTCGGTATATATTATGTATAAACTTATTATAACCTGTTAAAATATAGCTTCGCGGCAAATGGAGAAGGTAAATAAATAGAGACAAAATCAAACCTTCAACTTATATCAATTGCATGGACAGGAGAAATAAAATACACTTGGCTATTTTGCCTAAAAATGCAACAATTGGCCAGTTCAGTCAATAACCACTAAGATATTGTAGGCTATTATTACCAACAAATGGTCAAAGGTTTTTACTGTCTCTTGCCAATTAACCTGTTAAAATTCTAACTAACTAGAGTACCTTTTTTTTTTTTTTCCTTTTTTCATCAACTTTGAATATAAAGATAGAAGGTAAAAATAAAAAAGAATTATGTCAAATATGCATTACAAGGAGACATTCTTAGCTTAACACCAGAACAAGGAAAAAGAAAGAAAAAATCATCCCTAAAGTTTCAACCATCGCTAAATCACCCCTCAATTTGCAATGAAGAGCCAGCTGCATCCAAAACAATCAAATGGTTTCTTTATTAAATAAGATGAAATTAATCACACAAGAGACTAGTCAAGAAAAATTTCAAAATGATATACAGCAAGTTCTTGTTCTATATTGTATCCAAAGGCGAATGGAGCCAATGTTCTATAGGTTCAATTGAACTCAGTACTTTCAATGCATCCGCATCACATCCTCCAAAAATACACTACTTTGGAGGATCCGACGTGCGCCCAGCGGCCTTTTTGAAGAGTTCGAGCAACATAACTCTCAACACATAACATATACAGAACATAGATATATATATATATATATATGCGAAAAAACACTAAAATTTCCAAAGTACAATGAATCCGGCACTAAGAACCTATCAAGTTTAAATCCTGGATCGATATGCCTCTGTCACAATAATCAACTAATGATCCAATTCATGTAAAAAGAAAATCAGAAGGAGTAGGAACAAGACTAACCAGAATCATGTTGATGATCAGAACCATGATCTCTTTGATGATTTTCCATACACTGAAGTAAGTACTTAAAAGTCTCAATCTCACAAGGAATAGTAAGTCCACCAGTATGATCAAATCCAAACTCTTCTTCAACTTTTTCCAACAACACTTTGAACAAAGGATCACTAAGATAACTTGTAGGAATTATAAATCTTCTAAGTTCAGGCCCAACATAAACAGCTAAATAACCTTTAGGAACACCATGTGGTGGCTCTGGACTCTGGCAACTCTCGTCGTCTGAATCGCAGCATACATTTGAACTCTTTAACCTCTTCATTATAGCTGGTGATATGCCTCCATAAATATTTCCATTACTATTGTTAGATGATTGAAAATGGCCATGAGTGCAATGGTTTTGGTTGTTGTTTGCTTTGGGACTAAGTGTCACATTTTGCCATTTATGCAATAACTCTTTGAGTCTCACAATCTGTCTAATACCTGTCACTTTGTTTCCAGCTCCCTGATCATCCATTTTTCCTTTGCTTAATTATCACAACAAGATTGATGATGATAATGAGAAGAATATTACCAAATTTGGATTGACAAAACCTTCGATTCTCTATCGGAGAATTTGACTAATCAGATCTTGTTCCTCTCTGCATATTCACTGTATACAATTGGTATATAAGTTTCCTCCTCACTTTCTTGAAAATAATGAGAAAAGCTCTAATAAGGAAATTAGATAGCTTAAATAGCAATAACCTGATATGTTAATGGTTTTTTGATATCCTACTTAACAAGGGAAGAATAGAGACAGATCCATTGTGCTAAGACACATTAAATTATGGTATACTTAGCTGTATTATTTTAGTGATTGAATCCATGTGAAATCCACAACGCGTATGACCTTACTAGAAGAAGAAGCATTTTCCAATCACATGATCAGCAGCTAATATAATCATTTTAGCAAATAAAATACTACTACTACTTAGCAAATACTTTAACATTTTGGATACATACATGCGAAGACATGAACATATTATAATATTAGCGTAATATCATAAGAAATAAACAAATAATGGCGGTGACATGAAGGTAATTGCGTTTCTTTCTTCTTGATTTAGTTGTTATTTAAGACACCCTATTATTACTCTTTCGGCTCAAAAGATAGAAGCAAGCAATATAAGCCAAGATTAGTAAATTAGATGGTTTTCTTTTTCAGGTATATCAAATTCTCACATGTACAATGAACATTTTTGGCATTTTGGTTAAATGCTACTTTTATGAGTACAGATTTGATTAATCCAAATTTAAGTCTAACAACAACAACAACAACAATAACAACCCAGTCGAATCTCATTAGTGGAGTCTGGGGAGAATAGAGTGTACGCAGACCTTACCCCTACCCTGGAGGGGATAGAGAGGTTGTTCCAGGAGACTCTCGGCTCGGAGATAAAATTAAAAATCTGTAATAATAACAAAAACCGGAAAAATAATATCAGCATAGCGAGAGACAGCAAATAAATGGAAGGGCAATAACACAGATATGTACTATGCAAAAAATGTGAAGCACAACATAAACCACTAGCAATCCAAGATAAAACACTATCAGACTAGCCGGCACAAAGAGGAAAAACACTCGACTACCCTCTAACCTACAACCCCAATGCTCGACCTCCACACCTTTTTATCAAGAGTCATGGCCTCAGATCAGAATTGAAGTCTAAGAATTTCATAATTTGGGTAAATTATCAGATTTCATAGACACCCTAAATCAAGAACAAAAAATTAAAAACAGATCATTGCATATCTTCTTTGTGATTCGATCCAATATTCATGCAGTGATACTGAAGAGAAATGGTAATGAAATTAACAAATGATCCAACCAGATCAATTCACACAAAACTTTTGTTGCGCGGACTCTCCATGCTGTCGAATCCTCCAAAAATACACTACCAGATCAATTCACACAAAACTTTTGTTGCGCGGACTCTCCATGCTGTCGAATCCTCCAAAAATACACTACCAGATCAATTCACACAAAACTTTTGTTGCGCGGACTCTCCATGCTGTCGAATCCTCCAAAAATACACTACCAGATCAATTCACACAAAACTTTTGTTGCGCGGACTCTCCATGCTGTCGAATCCTCCAAAAATACACTACTTTTACAGGATCTGACAAACATACGATGACATTTTCGAAAAATTCGAACAATATAGCTTCAAAACAAGCAGAAAAGTTATACGCATAATAACAGATCTAGTACTGAGGTAAATCCAAGATTTTAAGACAACAAGCATATTCATGACAATGGGTGTGAAATATATATATATATATATCTTTTTTTTGCCCCTATATTAAGCTCTCATCTGCCCCTAATAACAGAAACTACATGCATGCATGCACATGAAAGACAATTTAATCAAATTAATGATGCAAAGAGAAATTAGATAAATTAAATGAGAAAACATAACAATAACAGATTAAATTTGATATTTACTTACCAGAATGGGATGGTCAAAAGCTGGTATGAAGAATAATATGACCATACAAAAGCTTAATTGGAATGGTATGCGCTTGTGCCTTTCATTCCCTCGTTTGATTTCTAGCTAATTGCGGAAGATGTTGTTGAGATTAGAATAAGACATCTTTACATATTATTGAGGGAAATTTTGTTGAGATTTCACTTCCTCGCTTGATTTCTAGCTAATTTTTGTTGCTTTGTTTCTCTTCCGAAAAAAAAAAAGAAGAGAAGTTTAATTGGAAGGGGAATAAGTTTTGGGCTAGAAGATGGAAGGTTCTATTTTTCTTTTGTTGAAGAGTTTCATGGATTTTTCAGAGTTCATTAAAATGAGTAATGATTCTGAATAAAAGATCATATGAATTTCCATAATATCATAAATAATACTTACAAACTGACTCTTCTTTGCTTATGTACTCATCATTTTTGGTTGCATTCGTTTTCTCCCTTTAACCTATGGTTACACCTGTGTTTTCGCTACTCAATTGTTCAGCTATCACTTTTTTTTCCTTATATTTCATGCGTCCGCCCGTTTGCTTTTACTATTTTGTCTTTTTAGCTTATCTATATATTTTTTATTTTCCTTAGGTGGATAATTTATGCATGTAACATAACTTGAGAGTATAACCAATTCGAACTTCAAATTAAATGAGTATAGCTTTTAATGTTTTTAACACTAATTACATGTACTTTTAGATGATCGTGGAAAAACTACAAGTACTTTATAGTTTAAATTTATAGAATACTAATTATGTATACGGGGAAGTAATTGAAAACAAAAATCATATTTTTTGTTTGACTCAAAAGATATTACAACCTTTTTGAACAAATCAATCAAAGAAGATGAAGGGGTTAATCCTAGTTAAAGATAATTAACTCTAGATCCGAGATGAATAATACGAATTAAAAAAAATAGCCGAATTTAATTGTTGACGCCGATTATGGTTTGATTTAATAGCATAAAGAAAGATGCATTAAGTAACATTAAGTGGCAATAAAATGTGAATAAAGGAAAAGATTCACCGATCTTGAGTGAGATGGATCTTCCTTCATTTAATAAATATGAATGATAGACAAATACAAGAAACATAAGACCCTTTTTGGATCTGATGAAGGTATGGGATCACAGATCCTCTCAACTCTTTGGAGAGATGTGTTTACATATTTTCTAGAAAGAGGGAGAGAGAGAGAGAGAGCCCCCTGTGGGGAGTCCTCCGTTCCTATTTATAAGGGGTATCCATAGAAAATCCTAAAAAAGTACAATTAGAGGGAATATTCAATAGAATATTCCCTTTGAGGATTCCAGAGCAAACCAGCTATTTCATCGCTGTCCGACCTCGGCTATTGATGACTGTTCGACCTCGGCCTTATTGATGACTGTCCGACCTAGGCCTGTCCGACCTCGGCCTTATGTCTGTCCGAACTCGGCCTTATTTCTCCGCGTGCCGAATTTCTCTGATCAAATTTTGACCCATACAGCTAGTCCTTCCGCTTATTAAGGTCGTCTCTTGGTCAAGCTTGGTGAGCAGACTTCATTAATCGTAGTTCGAGAAATTCGGATGCGGAGGTCGACTAGTGTGGATCGCGCCTGAGGGTGCCTATCTTTAGGTCAAAGTGGTATCCCCGCGGGCTGAACTTTATCAGAATTCGATCGGGGCCAATGACTTGAGTGATGAGTCGATCGAGAAGACGGTAGAGCTGGGGAAGGCCGTCGAGGCCGGGATGGTGGCTTCGGCAAAGATGGCAGCATCGGAGAAGGCCATTCGCATCCTCGGATCTGGATAGGCGAGTAGGCCGAATAAGAATTCTGTCAACGAATGAAAATTCGGACGAGGTCGCCGAATGTAAATTCCGGCAAGGTCGCCGAATGTGAATTCGGGCGAGGTCGCCGAATGTGAATTCGGACGAGGCCAAAGGTTGATTCGGACGAGGCCGAATGTTGATTCGGATAAGGCCGAGTGTTGATTCGGTCGAGGCCGAATGTTGATTCGGACGAGGACGCGTGTTGATTCGGACGAGGACGAGTGTTGATTCAGTCGAGGCCGAAGGTTGATTCGGACAAGGCCGAATGTTGATTCTGACAAGGTCGAATTCTTCTTTTTGGCAATGGCCCTTGGCTGTACAGGGTCGAATGTTGATTCAGACGAGGTTGGATGTTGATTCGGTCGAGGTCGAAGGTTGATTCGGGCGAGGCCGAATGTTGATTAGGTCGAGGCTAAAAGTTGATTTGGACGAGGCCGAATGTTGATTTGGACGAGGCCGAATTCTTCTTTTTGGCGATGGACCTTGGCCGAAAGGGTGTTATTTCGAGCTTATCGAAATGTTAACACGTCATCGTTCGATCAAGGTCGAACACTTCTTTTTAGCGAAGGCCTTTGGCCTTAAAGGGTGTTATTTAGAACTTATCAAAATGTTAACCCGTTGTCGTTCAATCAAGGTCGAACACTTTTTCTTTGGAGAAGGCCCTTGGCCGTAGGGGTTCGACCTCCTCTTTTTTGGCGATGGCTCTTAGACGTAGAGGTGTTATTGCAAGCTTATCGAAATGTTAACCCGTCGTCGTTCGATCAAAGTCGAACTCTTTTTTTTTTGCGAAGGCCCTTGGCCTTAAAGGGTTTTATTTCGAACTTATCGAAATGTTAACACGTCATCGTTCGATCGAGGTCGAACTCTTCTTCTTTGTCGAAGGCCCTTGGCCTTAAAGGGTTTTATTTCGAACTTATCGAAATGTTAACACGTCATCGTTCGATCGAGGTCGAACTCTTCCTCTTTGGCGAAGGCCCTTGGCCTTAAAGAGTGTAATTTTGATCTTATCGAAATGTTAACCCATTGACATTCGATCGAGGTCGAACTCTTCTTCTTTGGCAAAGGCCCTTGGCCTTAAAGGGTATTATTTCGAGCTTATCGAAATGTTAAGCCATCGTCATTCGATCGAGGCCGAACTCTTCTTCTTTGGCGAAGGCCCTTGGCCTTAAAGGGTGATATTTCAAACTCATCGAAATGTTAACCCATCGTCGTTCGATCGAGGTCGAACTCTTCTTCTTTGGCGAAGGTCGTTGGCCTTAAAGGGTGTTATTTCGAGCTTATCTAAATGTTAACCCGTCGTCGTTCAATCGAGGTCCAACTCTTCTTTTTTGGCGAAGGCCCTTGGCCTTAAAGGGTGTTATTTCGAACATATCAAAATGTTAACCCGTCGTCGTTCGATCAAGGTCGAACTCTTCTTCTTTGGCGAAGGCCCTTGGTCTTAGAGGGTGTTATTTTGAAATTATCGAAATGTTAACATGTCTTCGTTCAATCAAGGTCGAACTCTTCTTCTTTGGCGAAGGCCCTTTGCCTTAGAGTGTGTTATTTCGAGCTTATCAAAATGTTAACATGTCGTCGTTCGATCGAGGTCGAACTCTTCTTCTTTGGCGAAGGCCCTTGGCCTTAGAGGGTGTTATTTCAAACTTATCGAAATGTTAACTTGTCGTCGTTGGATCAAGGTCGAACTCTTCTTCTTTGGCGAAGGCCCTTGGCCTTAGACGGTGTTATTTCGAACATATCGAAATGTTAACCTGTCTTCGTTCGATCAAGGTCGAACTCTTCTTCTTTGGCGAAGGCCCTTGGCCTTAAAGGGTGTTATTTCGAGCTTATCAAAATGTTAACCCGTCGTCGTTCGATCAGTTCGAACTCTTCTTCTTTGGCGAAGGCCCTAGTCCTTAAAGAGTGTTATTTTGAGCTTATCGAAATGTTAACCCGTCGTCGTTCGATCGAGGTCGAACTCTTCTTCTTTGGCGAAGGCCCTTAGCCTTAGAGGGTGTTATTTCGAACTTATCAAAATGTTAACCCGTTGTTGTTCGATCAAG